TCAATGTTCTGAATGTAAATGTCAGCGTTTGTATGGACCTAGTCTGCTGATTCCTAGTCGACCACTCTAAATAGTAATTTTTATTTCTTTTGCAATTCACAAAAAAAGATGTATAAAAGCAGGCCGATACGCGGCTAATTCAAGCTCTGTACCTCAATGGTGCCTGCTATTCTGACCACTCCTCTGCTGTTTGGCGGCAGCGTGGACGAGATTCTGCAGGCGGCCGAGGTGTCCTCGGACGAGGACGAGGGCGGCTGCTCCGAGCAGCAGCGGCCCGCCCGCAGGAAGGCCAACAGCGCCGCCTGGATCCGAGAGGACGCAGAGAGCATCGTCGACCTGCTCGACCCCAAGGCCTCTCGACAGGTCACCGGTAATAAAAGGGGACACTTGTTGCAATGCGCTGGGCAGCCATCGTATTCAATGAGTGTTTGCGCGTTTTAGCGTTGTAGTCGTGAGTCATTCTTGCAATTCACAACGACTTTCCATTCCCACAACAACAGTTCATTTGCGTTGTAGTCGTCTTGGCATTTTGTCACTGAGGATGTGCTTAACAATCTAAGTCAATTATTGGCTCAGAATTCGTTTGTTGTCTGCCTATTTTAAGTGTGAATCCGAATGCATTTTGCGTGAACTTCACTAAGTACAAATGTTATCGTGTGACCTGTGAGCGGAGACGGTGTCTTTTCGTTCGGTATAATCGCTATTGTATGACGGTAGACCCCGTTCATTGTGTGCACTCCTGATGTGACCGGTGCCCTGCGCAGCGTCGCGGCCGGACCAGGGCGGTGCTGGGGCAGAGCGAAGGGAGCGGCGCCGGAAAGAGTTCGGCATCAGCGAGGACGGCCGGCTCATCATCGACACGGGCGACGACGACGACGACGAGCCGATCCGGTCCAGCGACGACGAGGAGGGTGAGACGCGGCTCTGTGGTATCTTAGAGAGATAGTGTTCCACAGTGACCAGGTGAACTAACATCATAAGTTTTTGCGTGCTGTCTGGGGGTATAATATCGCCCTTTGATTATTATTATTTATATTATTTTTTTTATCTTATATATATATATATATATATATATATATATATATATTTTTGCTTCCAATAAGGTGTTCCAGTGTTACATGTCAAGGACATCTATCTTACCAGCCATGTTAACAGCATATCGTCCATATCCCCGGTCTCCTCCGTTCGCTGCGGAGTTTTTTTTCAGAGAGCTGCCAGTGACAGTTCATACTGACTCCCTGTGCGAGTTTTAATGACTGGTGGCGTTGCCCGCAGACGAGCCGGACCAGTTTCTGGAGGCGATCCGTAACACGGCCGGCCACCGGGCCAAGCGGAAGCTGGACGCCTGCAGCGCGGGCTCGGCGTCCGAGCCGGCGCCGGCGTCCAAGTACCGGGCCGGCGGCGGCGGCATCCACCGGCCGGTGGGCGGCGCCGAGTCGGTCCGCTCGGGCCGCTCGCACTGGTCAACGGCCGGCGCGTCGGTGCGCTCGGGCCGCTCGGCCCGCTCGGCCGGCGGCGGGCCCCCGGCCAGAGTCGGCGCCGAGTATGCCTCCAAGAAGGGACGCGGCGACGTCAAGCGGGCCGGCCGGCCCGACCCGTACGCCTACGTGCCGCTCAAGAGGAACACACTCAACAAACGGTCAGTGTGGCCAGCTGGCCGTCCAGGGTACCGGGCGGAGAACGTGTGGACTGGCCGACCGGGGTTGAGCCGAGTGAATGTGTTAAATGGGTTAGGGTAGGGACTGGAATACCTCACTAGATGGCGCTGTTTGTCGTAAGCCTGTTATGTTGCACCCTGTGGGGTTCGCAAAATAAAACAGGCTTGAACAGCCTGAGAAGGTAGACCTTACAATGGTTTACTCTATATTTCGGGACATACGAGCTGTTAGATTTTTTTACATTAACTTTACTATCCAACGCAGCTGTTGCATGAAGTACCGGAGCCTGTATTATTTAACTGAATGTTTCTTTCTTTCGTTTCCAGGAAAAAGGCAAAGTACGAGGGGCAATACAAGAACATTGTCAGCGGCGCGCAGAAGGGCGCGACGAAGGGTGCCAAGGCCCGCGGACGCAGCAGGAAGCGCTGACAGTCGGAGTGTCACTAGGTCGAGGCGTTGTTGGTCGGAGCTGCCGGTTGGACGGAGATCAGTGAGCGCTGCAGTGGGGGCGCCAACTGCCGGTGGAACGGGCCGGCAGACTGCAGAACTGTGGGCCCCAACTACCAGTGGAAGGGCATTGCAGCCAGTCGGCAGAGCTGACGGGGCTGGGAGCGGTGAGAGGCTCTGGCGCTCGGCGACAGCGCGTGCGTGTTATGTGATCACGTGCAGACGTGTGAATATCGCTCTATCAGGAGGGGATCTGATGTTGCAGCGTGAATTTGGAGGTTTAAATATATGAAATGCTCTGTTATTTATTGAGTGAATACGACACCCTCTGCTATGCGGTCATTGAGTTCAGAGCGCTGAACTCAACTAAAGCAATGTGTCAAAACGCGATTAGTTAGTGAAGGCGCGTACGTACATACTTCCAGGCAACATATTACGTATAACACGATGAGCACGCTGCTCATTCACATTGATTTACCATGGAGTTTCACTTGATTGTAAACATCTTGGATGCAACTTAGCACATCAAATATCACACAGGCATGCGGCACCAACCTCGGTGTCTTCCCGGTTGCAGGTCCTGCGAGCTCTCAGGCCGTTCGGCGGCCGCTGCGTTATTTGGCGTTCCCCAACTCGCACTCGAGTTGGTAGCTCTATCCTCGGCCACTATTCACTGTCGTCTGAGTTTGGCTCGACGGGCGCTGGCTCCGTGTGATCGCCGGCCGGGCGGTGGAAGTGACGCGGACAGGTGACCCCGCGCGGACCGTTGTTCACCAGCAGGTAGCCGCTCAGCAGGTTGTTCATGCTGACCGGTGGTATGGTGATGGTCTGCTCGTCTGGCCAGATGGCCTCCCCTTGAGACAGTTCTCTCAGCTGGTCCAGTGTGATGTTGTTTCCGCGCAGCACGGCGCGGTAGTCGGTCGGCCGGAGCTGAGCGGCCGAGACCGGGTCCTGGCTGCCGAGTCGGCTCACCAGGGGCGCCAGGTCGGCGGGCATGGCGCCCTGGCGCTGCCACTGCACCAGGCGGCTGCCGCAGAGCACCACGCCGGCCGCCAGCAGGTGGCGGCGCAGCGCGGCCACGTGGCGCACCAGCCGGCGCCGCTCGGCCCAGCTGCGGCCGCCCAGCGCGTCCACCTCTGACCAGAAGTAGCAGGGCAGTCGGCCGGCGCGCGCCGCCGCCTCCACCCAGCTGAGCACGGCCAGCAGCGCCCGGCGCGCCGCCCCCGGCCCCGCCCACCAGTCGGCGCCGTGCCGCTCCGACAGCCACAGCACAGCCGTCTTCAGATAGTAGCTCTTGACAGCGGTCACCGAGCGTCCCAGCGCTGCCTTGCAGTATTTGAGCGCAGTCAGACATGCACGCTGCTCAGGCGTGAGCGCGCGCAGCGCCGTGTGCTCGAGCTGGGAGAACGACAGCCGCCACTGGTGACGCTCGGCTTTGGTGCCTCGCGCGCCGACCGGGACCAACAGGACGCCCATGCGACAGAGCCGGCGCACCAGGTCGGCCGGCGGCCACCCGGACGGTCGGCGGCGGCCGGCGAACCCTGCGCTCGGCCAGGACGGACAGCGCACGCAGGCCACCAGGTCGATATGGTACTGGTCCCAGAAGTTTACCGCCAGAGAGGGTCCGGCGCGGTCCAGCCGGCCGGGCCGGCCGTCGGCCGCCTCCCGGCCGAGATCGGCCAGCAGGCGCACGGCGCTGCCGGCCGAGAACAGCAGGCGCTCCCTGTGCCGGCACTGAGGCCGCCGCTGGTGGTGCAGCAGCACGAACCCCGGCCGGCCGGCCGTCTCCTGCGTGACGAACACGGCGTCCCTCTTAGACACCGGGCTGCCCTCGGGATCGGTGGACTCACTCTCAGACTCAGCAGAGGCGGGACTGGCCCGGCCGCCGTCTGACCTGGTGTCCTCCGTCGCGTCGTTATAGGATGATCCGGCTGTCTCCGACTGGTTCAACCCGTCCGGTCTCTGCTCAGACAGGTCCGCTACACGGACCGGCCCCAGCTGAAACATCACATCAGCGTCGGAGCTGCCGAACGGCTCCCTCAGCCGGACGTCATTGCCCTCTGGTATACTGCCAGAGGAGTACACCCGCTCCACTATCAGCTGGCTGAGGTCGGCACAGGCGCACTGAGGCGCCGGCTGTCCCTCCGCCAGCCGAAGCACCTTCAGACCGAAACTGGAGGCCGCGAACCGGCCGGTGAATCCCCGGGCGCGCCGCGCCGCCTCTCGGGACTGCAGCATGGCCACCAGCAGCTCGCAGGTGGCGTCCGCCTGCTCGTCGGAGACCGGGGGGCTGCTGTGACGGGCGCCCATCGCAGCCGAGGATCGGGCGCCTGCTCAGTGCTCACTGACTCACCAGCCGCGCCGTCAGTGAGCCGAGTCACCGCCCCGCCGCTCGCGTGACGTCACCGCTCAGCGGCTGATCGGGCCGGCTCACCGCGCCGGCGCGACGGCCGCCCGTACCGGCTCGGCGCGACAGCCTTGCGTAGCCCGAGAACTGGCGTCTCGCGCGGCGGAACCGCGGCCTTGGCCACATCGGATATACAACCAGTGGTTCACAAACTTCCGCCAAACGAGCTCACCGACAACAGTGGACATCGTGCACGCAGCGGTTTGCATCTTTTCGATAGACCGTCAGGCTTCCGCTCTTTGTGGGGTCATCAGAGACGAGCCCCGGTGGAAATACCGGAACAGAGGGCGGGTGATAAGCATGGTCGGAGAACGTGGCTTTCCACACCCACCCGTCACGCTGATCTGGATGCAATATACGCCTAGAACCATACAGAAACTGATATGACCCCTTTAGTCACCCTCCGAGCGTGCCTGTCCTACGTCCATTGCCCCCCCCCCCCCCAAAAAAAAAACAATGGCGACCACCAATCAACTAAAAACGACAGCTTCGCCAGTCCGCTTTATTGAAGGCCCCACACGCACACACTGCCCCACGATCGATCACTCGTTGGTTCCCACATTCGGCAATAAATAAATTCGGGCTGGTAACACTAAACAATTTTAACAAACGCATCAGTGAAAATACACATCCGCCCAGCGGCTAGCAAAATATGTTCCGTTCCCACCAGCCTGCCGGACGGCGCGGCGCCGGCGCAGAGGGTCAGTGGCGGCAGGTCAGCCGGGACTCCTGACGAGACGCCCAGCAGGCTGGCCGGTCAGCCGCGGGACGGCAGCCACCGCCGCCGCACGGAGCGGTCCGGCGTCGGCCGGTGCCGCGCGGACCACTCGCGCCGCACCAGCGGCGGGGTAGTATTTCAATTAGATATCACAGATCGCATCGCAGTTCGCACGGTCCGGTCGATCGGTTCACCCGTTCGTTCGCCAGCTGCAGCCACTTATTTAGACGGAGCATTGCTGGAGATCAGACGCGCACCCACGAGGACAGCTTAAAACAAAACCAAGGGCAGCAGCTTTCCGGCAGAACAGAACACACTACAGCACACGCAACACAAGATATTTTAAAACAACTAAGCCCCTCCCGATTATAGATATGTCGAAATGTAAATGAACCGTACACAGCGTATGCAACACAGACTTCTGCGTCGTTCCTTAGAATTCAATGGATCTAAAATTATGGAAAACAGAGTAGTATGGTCACCTTTCTTACATGACGAAATCTAGTAAAAATCACCATGAGATAAATTGATGAATCTCCAACGATGCAAACCATTTCGCGAGGTCAAACGGTGAAAATGATTGGATGTCAGCTGAGCTTGGCCACCGCCTTCGCAAGGCCTTCTCCAGCACCGCATGGCCTCCCAGACGACCGTGCTCGGCCGGTGCCGCCCGGCCCTCACTTCCCCAGTCGTATCCGGCTCCGGGTGACCGGCTTCTTGGCGGGCCGCTCGGGCCGCGCCGTCTCTGAGCTGCGCCGCTTGCGACTGACGGCCGTCGGCGGCGGCGGCGGCGCGTCACCGTTGTGGCTGCGCAGCGCCGAGCGCCGGGTGCGCGGCGGCGTACTGAACGAGGAGCGCAGCTGGCGCACATGCTGGCTCAACTCGTCCGTTTTCCGGCGCACCTTCTGCAGCAGCTCGGCCGACGGACTGCGCCGCACGGCGGCCAGCGGCGCCGGCGCGCGCGCCGGTACCGACGCGGCGCCGGCCGGCGGGGCCGAGCGGCGGCGTACCGGCCGGCCCGGCGCCGCCCGGTTCTCCGTGTCGCTGTCCTCGCCGGCCGGCGGCGGCGCCCGGCGCGCGCAGCTCGAGCTCGTCACCTCGTTGATCTGGACGTCGCGCCGTTCGGGAGGCGGCGCCGGCAAGCTGGCCGACATGGCCGCCAGCAGCGGCAGCGGCGCGGTGGCCGCGGGCGGCGGCACCCGCGGAGGTGGCGGCGGCGGCGGCGCCGTCATGGGCTGCGGACACGAGCGGCGGCCCACCAGCGCCGGCTTCAGCGCGCCCACCGGGTTAAACACCTTATAGTCGCGCAGCGGCGAGGCGCCGGGGACTCGCGGCTCAGCGCCGCCGCTGCGGAAGAAGGCCGGCCGGAAGCGGGCGGCGGCCTTGGCGCGCTCGGCCAGCTGGCCGGCGGTGGTGGCCGCCTCGTCGGCCGGACGCTTTGCCGCTGAGCTCTGCTCCGACTCAGACGACTGACGCAGGCGCTTCTTCACCACCTGTGAACAGAAGCACGGTCAGCGACAGAGCACAACACACTGTCCTTCAGACGCTGTGGGATTGCCATTAGTGGCAGAGCGGGAACATGGACCGTAATAGCAGTTGGTCAGTTCGGTAACAGTGCATGATGCATTACAGCTTCTCAGATATGACATGTTACCATTTGCCAGTACCATAGATAACATGAATCTATCCAACATGAATCTATGAGCCAGTACCTTACAGGTAAACGCCACCAAGCGTATCTAATGGGTTATTAAAGCCGTACAGGACCAAGGCGCCGCCGGTGGCGTGTCTCTGACCTGGACTTTGGGCGGCCCGGGCGGGTCGAGCATCACGGTGACGACGCTCGTGTTGTCCGCTCGTAAGCACTTCATCTTCCACTTGCTGAGGGCCAGGTCCACCAGCCGCTTAGAGGGGTTGATCCACTGGCGCTCCTGTGTAGAAAGATGACAAAAAAGTCGTCAGAATTGCAAAAACAGTCGTGCAGCCTGTTCTATACTCTGCGCTGGATACGCTTGAAAACTGAAGGAAGAAGGAACAGTTGGAGATAAAATTAATAATCAATTCAGAATGCACAATGCAATACTGTAGGCCAACTTCTCAGCAGAATATGCGGCATTACGCCGTACGTGTTAGCTCCAACACAACGGCTACAAAACGGCAATCGAAAATGAGCAAACTCGATGATTCATGTACGATTATACAACATACAATATAAATTGCTAGCAAGCGAACTGTCCAATGAAGACCCGACCAGCCATCTTCCGGAACCTATGCCGTGAAGGTGGGCGCTACTGCTCACCTCACCCATCAGTTGGAGTGGTTGGTGTGACACCCACCTATCCCGTGTTGGTGTGATTAATGAGACACCTCTCCCGTGTTGGTATGGTCGACACTCACCTCTCCCGTGCGTGTCGCTGATGAGACACTCAGCCCTCCCGTGTTGGCGTGGTCGACACTCACCTCTCCCGTGTTGGTATGGTTGATGAGACACTCCTCGTTGAAGAGTTCGGCGTGCGCCACGTTCGAGACAGACTGCTGTGGTGACACCATGTTCCAGAAGCCGTCGGTGCCGAGAACCAGGCAGCGGTGCTGCGTCACATCCACCGTCAGCACGTCCAGGTCCGGCTCCGGCGACACCACGTACTCGTTGTTGGACGAGTTGAAGCTCCACAGGTCACCTGCGGGCCACACTCGAGGTTAGAGCAGAATCTCCCAGTCCAGCCAGGCCAGATTGATATGTGCCTAGTTAGTGACAGCATATCAAAACCACAAGATCGTAACAGGCACAAGACCGTAACAGGTTTGAGCCGGTCCCGTAACTCAATCGGTAGAGCGTTGGACACCGCGTGCTGAGAGCATGCGTTCCCGGTTATAACAGTCTGGGACTCTGGGTTTTAAACGCGATGGGCGCTTGACGTTTATGGGCCTCCTGACAGGTATAGTTGCGGTTGGTGGCAGGCCTTAGCTTGGCAAAGTGAGCCCTGGCAGGGTCAATGCAACAAGCTTCGCTTAGTGAGGGCTCTGTCCTTGTGAATCTCTCCATTCAAAAGGTTTGGACTAAATTCATAAAAAAGCACCTACCAACACATAAATAATCCAGTAAAACACAGCCTGATCTGGCCAGCCCCATTCCCCACCCCCCACATCTCTGTCACCCAGGCAGTTGACCCACCTAGTGACCTGGCCACGGCCAGGAAGGGGATCTCGTCAATCTCCGTGGAGCGCCGGATGGGGCCCTGGTGGCCGATGCGGGGCCGGTTCCACACCACGCGCGGTACGCCGGACTTGTTGATCACCTTGCCGCCGCACTGCTGGATGCGCTCACACTCGTCCACCGACTCGGGCTTGTGGTCCCTGGTGAGCGGGCGCGCGTGCCAGTGGCGCGGGTCGTCCCCTGCAGGGCAGGGAGTGGAGCAGCGTAATACCGTTAGAAAGGGACACAGTCATATTGTCAGCCTGCTGCAGGTGATCACAGCAATGTGCAAACCTGAAAGTTTTACACCTTGTGTGAGCTATGACATTCAAATAATTTGTGTTCAGCTCCAAAATACTGATCGATATGCAACATTACCTTTCCCAGTCAGGCCATGACCTTGACCTTAGCTCAAACTTTAAAGTTGTTGAGCATAATAGGTCAAATTATAGCTTATTTGACATGTCTTGACAAAACGAACCCAATGCTGGTAACATACGTGCGAATTTGGAGCCAAAAATTAACGCAGATAAGCATTTCCTATCAAATTTTTAATTTTCATTATTTTTTGCCCTCTGGAGGCTAAACTGTTGATCTGAGGTCGAATATGAGAGAATTACTCAGAAAGAGTATTACTCAGAAAGAGTAATAAAAGAGCTACCACATGTGCTCTCATGCAACCCTGTAGCCCTTTCTGGTCCCAAGCTATACAGTGATTTGTAAACAACTGTCAAAATTGGTGTACTCAACATCGGTGACCACCAATGACCTCCAGTGACCTGACCTATGAAATGATCTAAAGCAAACCAGATACCTTTTCATAGTTTTTGGCTCTACTTCCTGTCCCTATGAAGCCTCATAGCCAAGTTTGACTGGGGGTGTTCTGTTCACTGTTCAGCCCCCCGCCCCAGCTGCAGCACATGGCACGGAAATCCAGGAGTCCCAGCAGGATGTAGGTGAATTGCCTACCTGGCTTCTGATATCCGAGTACAATGGCTGAGTCACCAACATGGCCAGTGTATATTTTTCCTCTTCTGATGAATGCAATGCTGGCTGTGGAGCCTGAGGTGCTTGGAAGGCCAGCAGACGTTTTCGGCCAATGTTCTGAAAAGGTAGTCAGAAGTCAGTGACCATATGATTCACATCACATTTTGCTGTTCGGCATTCAAGACTTACTGATTCACAACTCCTGAGTGTCTGCCTGAAAATCAACTAAAGGCTAGAACAAAAGCACTAGAGAACAGCCTGTAAGACAGAGCAATCAATTGTAGGTATGTGCTATATTTTTTTATTTCTGTTTAAGCATTTCTGTTCAAATTCCTAATTCCCTGTGCCGAAAAACCCAAGAACATCTTTATTACTTTTCTAAAAATAAATTAAACAGCCAAATCAAGTCTGACAGTTTCAGCAAAGCCATAGAAACTAGGTAGGTAAGTACCTCCTATTCTAATGCCTAGTTAATCAGTCATATTATGGCAACCAATGTGAGCATTGCACAAATCATGGAAAGAATTTAGTTCAGTAACAAATGGATAAAAAATGCTGGCATACATATCAGAAGAAGACAAACAATTACATTACAGCAGTTGGTTACACAGGATAAAAAACAGAGGTGCTGAGCTCAAATCTGCCATGCAAAGGCAGAAACACTTGCATTTGGGTGAACCCTGGCCTGATTCAATGGACGCCGGTGAAAACAGGGCGCCGCAGGGCATATTAGTCACGTGATATTTGGAACTGCTCCCCCTCCGTGGGCCTTCTACATTCCAAACATCACGTGTAAATTTCATGAACCTTGATCAAATCGCCCCAGGCGCCCTGTTTTCACCATCGTCCGATTCAATGACCTTTGACCAGATGTGATCGTTCTTGCCTTTGTATTGCAAAAGTGCACACCCTGATCAAAATGCTCAAACAAGCAGATGCCAAGACTGCGAGTGTGAAATAACCATTAGGAAAATTTAGCCCATGTATTAGATGAAGAAACTAAAAACATCAGACCGTATACCCAATTTTTTTCTAAACTACACCAGCTCGCGCCAGATTCGTCTACAAATTCTTACCAAGCTCTTTCCACATTGCCTGGTGCGTGGTAATGAAGCCTTCTCGTATAGCCTTAAGCACAAGTTCGTCATCATCTGACCAGAAATTCTTTTGGCTGACAACGAAGTCCATTAAGTTATCTTTAGCGAATTGAGCAGCTTCTCTTCCACCATGGCCGTCAAAAATGCCAAAGAAGGCATATTCCAAGTCTTTCTCATCTTCCGTTTGTTGATATGCCACAGAAAAGACATCTTCCATGTAGCGTCGATCGCCCTGGTTGCAGTGACCAGTTACACGCAAGTTGACACCAATATTTGGCGCCATACCAATGGCTACAAACTCCACAGCGCACACCCGCGTCCCCACTGCCGCACGCTCAAACGCAACGGTTTCAGGCAGGAAACATCGCAACAAAATGCTGCTCTATGATTGGCTACTGCTACGCTTGCGTCATTCGACCTTGAAAAGTGGGCAGACTTTCACACTTATATGACCATAATTTTAGCATTTCTAGCATGATTTAAGAAATGGTTTAGCGTTTTCAATTTTTCTATAATGAATTTTATTTTTAAAAGAACATAAAACATGAACTCTAACATAACTTTTTATCAGCACTATGAAGTACTGAACCTCGAAGCAAGGCTAGAGGCTAATGTTATTCATAAGTATCGGTTTATTTTCCTTCAAAATTATTTACATTTAATTTTAACTTAACTTCAAAAATACATTCCGTAGAATTAGTATGGAATGCTGGAAACTTGGCTGAAGAAGTTATACCTAATACAGCTGAGTCGGTTGAGTCTACTGATCACAGCCAGCCAATCAGACAGGTCGATTCAGGTTTCTACTGAAACTGGTATTGCAGAACAGCATTCCTAAATGTAAACAAAATAAACCGCGAAATGCCTCAGCAGAACGCCGTCCCGCGTGACTCATATTATTTTGGCTGTATTTCTGTGCTGGTGCTCTGTATATATACGGCCTTGGTATAAAGTGGGATGGTTCAAAATACGCAACTTGCTTCAACGTTACAAATCCACAGAGGTTTGGAGGACGGGAGCGTGTAGCAAGTGTGTAGTATGCATGCGTTTAGCGTGCGAGGCGCTGCCGTTGATGCGGTGCAATTGTAGTCCCGAGTACATAAAAGGTGCAGGTACCCACTTGGTTTCCTGTAATTCGTTCCCGTTCACATTTTTTAAGAATCGAGTTGTTTTTTCTGCTGACTGGGGCTACAGCAAGATATTAAAATGCTGCTGAAGCATCTGAAAACAATTTTACCCGCTCAGGTATGTCAGTCGCATAAATATCAACCTTTGAACGTAACCGATCAGGTGTCGTAGTTGTAGGTAGGTACCGTTCGTATGTTACTTCAAATTCTTCAGTTATAGAAGTAGTTTTGCTCGAGTAATTTTGTAATCCTCTCACCTCTCACTCTACTCTAAATGAGCACTTTGCACTAAGTGATCCTCTAAATGAGCCTGTGGACCTCATTTTAATTGGTGTTCCACAAAATTGCACTCAAGGATGTCTTGCTAGGTTTCATTTACCAAGTACCTACCCATTCTTGATTTCTTGCTCGAATTCACATTGCATTCGCCTACAAATGCAGGCATGAAGGCTAGGGCTTGGCACTCCAGAACAGGATAGTTACCGCACCTCGCTTTCAATGAATGTGTACCTTTCTGCGAACAATGTTCACCCTCCCCTGGTCCTGACACGTTCTCCTCCCATTATGTCATCAGGACGGCGCCGCCAAAATAACGGCCATGACGTGGTCTTACAACAACGTCAAGCTGGCCGTCTGCACCGCTGATCGCGTCGTTATCATGTTTGACGAAAACGGCGAGAAAAAGGACAAATTCTCCACCAAGCCCATCGATGCTAAGGTGCAATTTGCTTTATGAACAAATATTTCGATAGTCATGAGCCTAATGTTCCAGTACATAAGCCAAATATTTTCATTGTCAAATGCATATCGGAGTCATGCGAGAACGTTATGATTTTATACCGATGCCATGAGGCTAGTTAATAGGTCAAGCGATTTTAAGAGCCAAATCTAACCTTATTCGAACCCTGTGGAGTGTGCTAGAAGCATAGCGGTCGATCGTTACAAAATTCATCCATGTCACGCACCTGTGGTTGACAGTACGGCAAAAAGAGCTACGTGGTGAAGGGCCTGGCGTTCTCTCCAGATGGCACCAAGCTTGCCATCGGACAGTCAGACAACATCATATTTGTCTACAAGATCGGCGAGGACTGGTGAGCGGGTGTTCTTACGGGCCGGGAAGTGACTGGTGAGTGGTTTTGATTTCTGACCGGGGTATGGGGAGCTGGTGACTCGCGAGCGTACCTGTGGCGTGGCTGCAGCTGATGGCCTTGGAAACGCCACCAATCCTAAACATTTTCCGAAAAAATGGACAATATATGTATATTACATTTTCACAGGAGCTTTCTTGATAAGCCACGCCCTACGAGACAGTACAGCCAAATGTCATGGACTAATTAGAATATATTTTCCGATGTTTTGGGGTCCGCTAGAGAGAAGGTGTATTTTTGTCCCGTCCTTCTCGCCACCCACTCACATCATACCACTGACGCGGTGGAGCCTGTGCCGCTGACTAACGGCCGCCACCCGGCTGTGACCGCTGCAGGGGCGAGAAAAAGGTGATCTGCAACAAATTTGTCCAGTCGGCGGCGGTGACCTGTCTGATCTGGCCTCTCGAGGGTCCCATCGTGTTCGGCTTGGCCGATGGAAAGGTGCGCGGTGCCAACGTCAAGTCCAACAAGTCGCAGACGCTCTACCAGACAGAGTCCTACGTCGTCTCCCTCTCGCCCAAGTGAGCACGGTGCAATGGTGCATGCTGTTATACAGCACTCATTTTTAAACGACTGCCTAGACGAAACCAACAGCACTCTTTCTTAGTGAAAATGATTACTGTTAAGAAATGGCCTCCTCATTTCATATAGTTGTTTATGTATTTGTTTGATTCTTTCGAAATTTCCATACCGGGTCATTCCTTCGGTAAATCATTTAACTCAAGCCTCACGGCCATTTATTCGATGAACCACCGGCGAAGCCGTTACCTATAGTTAGAGCTTCCCGCGATGTAGCGTTTGTCATCCCGGCACAACGATGTTTTCAGTTACAGATGCTTTCGCGCTAGGAAAAGTAAGCCTGTCCTAGCATGCATCCGTGCATGCATGCATGCATAACTCATCATTCTCTCGTATCATTGTACCGCCTACTTCCTTCAGTCTCGTGACAGCGGACTGGCCCGGTGAGTCACCGAGTGACCCAGTCCCGGCCGACTCGGTGAATCAGTGACCGTTACTGGCGCGGTGACGGGCGCGGTGACCGGTGACTGACCGGTGTGTGTCTCACTCGGCAGTTCCAGCGGCACGGCCTTCCTGTCGGGACACGCCGACGGCGCCGTCGTTCGGTTCTACGTGTCCAAAGATGAGGAACAACTGCCTCAGGTACGGTAACATGGGCATCAAATGCGACAATTGCTGATTTGTTTGCCGATGGCTGCTAAACGTTTGTGTATGATCGACTCAGTTTACCGATTATATCAACTGCGGGATTATGTGTTTCAACATGACTCTATTGTCACGGATATGCAGCCAGCATAGTCCAGTGATATTCTTTCTCGCCCCTCCTATTCCATTGTATTGTATTGTATTGAACAATCATGAGCGATCCACATTCTAAAAGTGCGTGGCGATTACTGCTCAGAATCCGTATCCGCGGTTACTAATCTTAACATTCACAGCATTCACACATTCACTCACGTCAAAGCACGGACTGAGACACTTTCGTAGTGCCACAGGTACAACTCACCCACCCACCAACCCGTTGGTCAGCGACGATCAGTTGATGCCCCGTCCACTATCGCGGCTTTAACAGATCGGGCAAAGGGGGCGGGAGACAGCTGCGACAGCTGAGTTGGGAGACTGTTGAGTAGAGCAGCGGCTCGATAGCCGAACCGCCGCCTACCCGTTTCCAGCCGTGGTCGCGGAAGGTGAAAGAGGTGGTCTTGCCTGGAGTGTCTCTCCCGGACAGCGCTGTTTGTGACGAACATGGTTGCCAATTCCTCGGGTTCGCCGCGCTGAATGGCTTTGTGGGCGATAACAAGGGTTTGGTAATCAGCCATATGACGCGGGGACAGCCACCCGAGCTTTTTTCGCAGGTCAGAGACATGGGCAAATTTACGGCGACCGAAAATGACTCTAGCAGCGAAGTTCAAATTTTTTTGGAGACGATCGAAAATTTTTTGGGACCCATTGCCATAAACTGAGAGGCAGTACTGGATGCGTGAGATAACGAGTGCTGTCACGAGCGTTCTAATGATGCCATCCGGGAGACTGTGGCGCGCATGGGAGAGACCGATCAACAGTCCCGTACACCGGCGACTGAGTTCGGAGACGTGAGCGTCCCAGGATAGAGTACTGTCAAAAGTGACGCCCAGGTTCCCCACCTGCGCGCACGGCTGCAACGCTGCGTCACGGAACGATACCCTGAAATCTGGCAATTTGCGTAAATTTTGACGACTGCCGAAGACAATGAGCTGTGTTTTACTGGCGTTGACCTTCAGGGCGTTAGCGCAGAACCATTCGTTGAGTGACGCGAGCGAAACCTCCATGCGCGAGATGAGAACTCCAAGGTCCCTGGCAGGACCGCTAACCAATACTTGGGTGTCGTCGGCATATTGAAAGACTACTGCATCACCCGCGTACAGCGATAGGTTGTTAGAGAAGATGGTGAAAAGTAACGGACCTAACGCAGAGCCCTGGAAGACACCCATGGTATTAGGAGGAGGCCGAGACAGCACTCTACTTCCGGACCCATTATCGCTCATAACTCCGCTTTCATCGGCTATACTGAACGGCGTGGCCGACTGGTCATTAGTCGGTCTCCCCCCCCCCCCTTCCTGACACCTTCCCGACCCTCCCGTCGTCAAACGGCATCTATGGCCGATCAGCCCCGGGTAATGGTCCCGCCAGGACACTTGTTATGAATGTGGGGAGGGGAGAGGTCACGACCTTCAGCAGGATTCAGCTTGTCCACGCCTCCTCTCGCCCCACCCCTCCCCCATTTCGTCGGTGGCCGTTGTCGGCGCCGACGGCGGGGTAGGGGGGGGCGGTACTGCACGGCGGGGTAGTTTCACTTTCCGTCCACGCGCCGACGCGGCCGCTGCCGGCGTCCTCGGTTCCCTCCCCACACACGTGCTCCGTGGCCTGTCGTAACATGAAACGGCGCCGTGTGCGGGACGGGCCGACCCATTCATACGGTGACTGGGTATATCAGATAGGCTGGGGGGATCCAGAGCGTCGTAAGCCTCGTCGTAGCTGCGACGTGTCGCAAGTTGTGTAGTAAGTCGTTTGTGAAGGGAT